GGTGAGATCCAATGTTCTAAACTTTTATGAGATACCCCATTTATATTGCGCCACGTGTCCCTGCCAAAAAATCCAATTTTTCCTCATTTACGTATTGTCGTAAATACCCTTCGTATAATTAATATTTTCAAAAAATCGGTCATTATATATTATTAATGTAATGTCAATTTTACCCTCTATATTCTTAATGCAATTTTAAATATATATTTATTGCTGAATTAAAATTTATAATGTCAATTATATCATTATTCGTAAAAATCATTAAACCAGCCATCCAAAATTGCATCAACCTAAATTCAAACTCGTGACCATCTGAAAACACACAAGAATACTTACCATTAAGTCACAACACATAATTGACAATAAACTAACAATACGAATATATATCACAAAGCTACAATTTATAATGGTTATAAAACTTATATAAATAATGTTAAATAAATTATTAATTCTCATATAATTATTATTATTATATATTAAAAATATCCCATACTAACAAATCTTTATATAATATAATTTAAAAATCTAACGAAATGTTGTTCAACACGTGTAATTTAAAAACGAGTTTCGAAAGAATTTGAAGTTTGAATTGAATCGTAAATTGGAAGATTTAATTAAATCGTAATCTTTGAATCAATTAAACTCATGTGTTTTCAATTCAAAAACAATATTCAAAGATTTGATCGATTAAGCTCAACTCATTTCAATTCATATACAATATTCAAATATTTGAACCGGTTAAACTCAATAATTTACAATAGCGTATTAATCAATCTGTGTATAGTTAAAGTTTAGTAACCTTTTTTTTTTATTGAATTTTATCATAAAAAATAATAAAATTTAATTCGTAAAAATCGTAAGATTTAATCGGTTCATGGTTAGATTAAATCTTACGATTTACGATATGATTTTTACGATTTTACGAATTAAATTATTATTTTGTTGTTAAAATTGAATTAAAAGGATAGTAAACTTTAATTATAAATTGTTAACTCGATTAATACGTTCTTGTCAGTGGTTGAACTTAATCGATTCAAATTTTTGAATAATATTTACAAATTAAAAGGATTTGCGCTTAATTGATTCAAATCATACGCTTTAGTTAATCTTATGATTTGATTCTTGCGTAATTTAGGAATTATTTTTTTATGATAAAATTGAATTAAAAATGTATTACACTTTAATTAATAATAGTTAATTTGATTAAGACGTTCTTGTCAATAGTTGAGCGCGCTAATGAATTGATTCAAATATTTGAATATTTTTTACGAATTGAAAGGACTTGAGCTTAATTGGTTCAAATATTACGCTTTGATAAAATATTATGATTTACGATTAGGTTCTTACATGTGTTAGGAATTAAATTTACTATTTTTTATGACAAAATTGAATTAAAAAGATATTAGACATTACTTATAAATAGTTAAATCAATTATGTAACATGTTATGTCAATAGTTAAACAACCGATTAAAATATTTGAATAATGTTTACTAATTGAAAGGATTTGTACTTCATCGATTCAAATCTTACTAGTTGATTAAATTAAATATTAAAAGAAAATTCACAATATAGTATTTGTACTTTGTAGTATATAATTTTATTTTAAAGTAAGAAAACTACTAATTGGAATGAGTTATAATTTTTTCTTCTTCTAAACAAACATATTATTTTATTTTTTATTTGGATTTGTCACACTATCGATTGAATAACATAGGTGAGTTTGAATTAAGTTATGCATTTTTTTATATTTAATTGAGCATTCTTTACATTTTTAAATGGTGGAGTTTATTAATACTTCTAATATTATATAATTAATGATAGATGTTTGGCGTATTGAACTGCAATTCTTTATATTTTTAAAACTTTATTTTATTAAATTTGTTAATAATTTATTTAATATCATTTGATAATAATGAATGTTGCAATTAATATTGAATTAATAGTATTTATACAATTATGGTTAAATATATCATAATAAGTTAATGTGTTTGAATGGTTAGGAGTGATAAATGTATTAAGAGGTCACAAGTTCTATTCCTAATGAATGCATTTTTTTCGATTATTTATCAAATAAATCTCGGTCACAATGAATTTAAATTAATTATTTAATTAAAATATAGTAGGGGGTAAATTAGACAATTCAATGTTAATCAATTTTATATTAATTTAATAAAAAAAAATAATCGAAGGATAATTTGGTAAAATACTTTATTTTTTAGAACATAAGCCATGTTATTTTCTTAGGGTCCAGATTTAATCTTAGAAAATTAATGGTGATTAATGCATATCTCGTAAAAGTTTAGAACATGGGGTATCTCACCCTAGAAAGACCGTGTGTATATATATATATATATATATATATATATATATATATATATATATATATATATATATATATATATATATATATATATATATACATATATATATATACACG